CTTTGGTGTTCTTCGTTCTCCTTTACTCCAAGTGGTTGGGAGCAATTGATGCATCTTAGATGGCCACTTGCAAGCTTTTAAGTACCATAGTAGTTCTAAGCACCATAGTCATCATTATAACAGAGTTGACTGTATTTTAATATTACCTTCGTTGAAATACCACCCAGCCATCCAGAATGCAACCAAAAATACAGGATAAAACTCCACACAGTTTTGTCTGCAGGAAAAAAAATAAAGTCATGGGTTATTTATGAGAAAACCATAGACTAGAGCATCAATTTTTCATCTAGAGGTAAATGTCCACTCTATTCTTATAAAAATCATATAAGAATGTACATAAAGAGTTTAAACAATCCTTGCATTTAAAATGAGTCTTTCAAGATGGAACTCAGACATGGTTTAAGCCTCAGAGCAGGGCCAAGAATCACTCTCCTACATGTAAGTTGCCAGCAGTGGAAATGAATCATAGATAGCTCTTTCCCAGAAGACAGGTTTCGAGATGGTCCTGATTCTGGGTCCTAAACCTCATTCTATATCTTATCTAAAGAACCCAAAAAATAACTCAATTCATATTAAGTGGATTTCTTTCCAAAAATTCCCTCATATCCATTGCCTTCCACTTAGGTTACTCAGCACATTAAAAAGTAACCTTTAGACAATTCTCTTAAAACCTGAAGTAAATGAATGAGTATATTTCATTTCCATTTTACTGAGGAAGAAACTAAGGCCTGAGAGCCTGAGCTTTGATTCAAAGAGAATCAAAGGTAGACAGTGTCTGGTTTCAAAGCCCTGTCTTAATGTCAAGTCAAATTGCCTCTATTCATAGAAGACTTGGCTGGAAAATTTGATACTATTTTAAGCAAAAGGGAACAGTTCTTTGGGAACTATAATTAATTCATCTGCACCTAGAAAAGGGGAAAAAGATGAATTATATTCATCCTCCTTCCTGTGCTACACCCCCAAGTGGTCTTGGTTAGGTTAGCTGAGCCCTTTGCTGACAATATTACAACCATCGAGAACTTTAATGTAATTCATAATGAGGTCTTGAGCAGACTTTGGTGGAAAAGTCATAGTCTGCAGGATTATAAGTGATCCCACATCCTTCCTTAAAGCCTTAAAGCTTAAGGACTTAAGACTATGAGGCAGTTGACCCAGAAATAGCTGATGCTGGTTCATGAAGACGTGGGTCTCCTGGTCCAGGTCAACATGGGTGATCATTTTTCACTAAATGAAAAAAGGAAAGCATTATTACAAAGCATAATTCTTCCCTCATTCTCCATAATTCCACAGGGAACTGTGGATGGGTCAGCTCAACCTTATTGGCTTAAGCCTCACTACATGAGCGAAAGCTCCTCCATAATAATTCAATTATCTCCTAAACCTGGGTAAGAAAACTGCATCACCACCAAACTCAATGCTCATATAAAGATGGTGGCTGGTGAGAATCCTGAGGCACAAGTGGAAAATTTGAATCCCTCCAGCAAAGATAAATGTGAGGTTACCTACACAGCTCTCTGAGAGCCACAAGGGTGAGCACCAAGGCCCTGGAAAATCAGAAATGGCTAATGTGAATGCAAAATTGCCCTCTTCTTCATTTTCTTACTGTTGTCTTTAAAACCAGAAAGCCACTGCAGGACCCAAGGAATGTTTTGCCTGGAGCATAACACAGATGCCCTCACAAACCACAGGCACAACTTTCTAGTACTCAGAGAAGTAAGCAAGATTTTTCTTTCTGCTCTTTCCTAGATGCGATGGTTAGTTTTATGTGTCAGCTTGGCGAGGCTATACTACCCAATTATTCAATCAAACATGAATCTAGATGTTCTGAAGATATTTGTTAGATGTGGTTAAAATCTACAAACCACTTGGCTTTAAGGAGATTATCCTCAATAATCTGAGTAGGTTCATCCAATCAGTTGAAAGGCCTTAAGAGCAAAACAGGGGTTTTCCTGAGGGAGAACTTCTACCTCAAGATGGCAGCATCAAATCCCACCTGAGTTTCCACCCTGCCAGCATGCTCTACACATTTCAGACATGCCAGCTCCACATTCACATTAGCCAGTTCGTCGAGGGATATATGTATATATTCTCCTGCTGATTCAGAAACTCTGGTGGCATAGTGGTTAAGTGCTATGGCTGCTAACCAAAAGGTCAGCAGCTTGAATCCACCAGGTGCTCTTTGGAAATTCTATACGAAGTTCTACTCTGTCCTACAGTGTCACTAAGAGTCAGAATCAACCCAACGACAATGGGTTATTATTATTATTTTTTTTTTTTGGCCTACTGATTCTGATTCTATTTCTCTGAAGAACCTTAACTGATACACCACCTTTGGCATTATTTTGCTTCCGATATCTACCTTTTTACTAATTTCTTTTTAAATTTGTAAGTTGGTATGACAGGTTAGGTGAAAAGATTTATAAATTTGTATAATAACAGTTACATAAAAAAAAAATGGCTTCCCAACATTTTTTTTTTCCTTTGGCTAAATCCATGGAACCTTTCTCCACAAAGAAAAAAGAGCAATAGCAGAGGAACGGCTACTCTTTCCTCAGTCATCCAGACTTTATACGATCCTTTCAGAAACAGAACACAATTGTCCCATCTGTTATTCAGTCTTGTAACATACCTTTTATTCCATATTTAAGGATTGTTTTTCCATGACCTATTTTAACTCAAAATTAGCTATGATGATTTTTTTTTTAAAAGCAGCCCACTTTATTCTTCAAAAAGGTCTAACTATTTAGGAGTCTTCCCTTACGCTGAAGCAGTGGCCTTGGTTTAACACTTGAGGGGCAGAGGGATAATACTGTACAAGAGAGTCCTAAACCAAAAAAAAAAAAAAAACAACCAAACCCATTGCCGTCGAGTCAATTCTGACTCATAGTGACCCTATAGGACAGAGTAGAACCGCTAAACAGAGTTTCCAAGGAGTGGCTGGTAGTTTCGAACTGCTGACCTTTAGGTTACCAGCCAAGTTCTTAACCACTGCACCACAGGGCAAACAGCCAAACTGCAGTGCAGGGGCAGAGCCTGTGGGCCTGCGACCTTTTCGGGTATCTGTCTACACAAGTGGACATGCCTAAGTTCTTTTGTGTCTCTTATCTGAAAGAGGAAGGAAAGTGACTGCTATGGATTGAATTGTGTCCTCAAAACACATGTGTTGGAATCCTAACCCTATACCTGTGGATATAATCCTATTTGAAAATAGGGTTGTCATTGTTAAGTTAATGGGGCCATGTCAGTGTAGGCTGTGTCCTAAATGTAATCACTTCTGAGATATAAAAAGAGCAAATTAGACGCAGAAGCAGGCACAAATGGGGTGGGGTGTGGGGTGAGGTAGACGCCACTTGAAGATCACCAAGGAACCCAGGAACGCCAGGGCTGGAGAAGCTGAGGCAGGGATTTTCCCCCGGAGCTGACAGAGAGAGAGCCTTCCCCTTGAGCCAGTGTCCTGAATTCCGACTTCCAGCCTCCAGAACTGTGAGAAAATAAGTTTCTGTTCTTTACATCCACACACGTGTGGTATTTCTGTTACAGCTGCGCTAGGCAACTAACCTTTTAGGCAAGAAAGAGAGGAGAAATGAGGAGAACGAAGGGCATGTCTTTTCTCCCTGCCCAACCTGAGAGCTGGTTTTAAACGTTAGTGGAGACCAGCCTGGAAGCTGAAAGCTCATCTTTTTTCAATTTCTCTTAGGTTTCCCCAGATCATGCCAGGGGTCTAGATTTTTTTTTTTTTTTTTTTTGTACTTTGGATGAAGGTTTACAGAACAAACTAGCTTCTCATTAAACAGTTAGTACACATATTGTTTTGTGACATTGGTTAACAACCCCATGACATGTCAACACTCCCCCTTCTCGACCTTGGGTTCCCAATCCCCAGCTTTCCTGTCCCCTCCTGCGTTCTCGTCCTTGCCCTCGGGCTGGTGTGCCCCTTTAGTCTCGTTTTGTTTTACGGGCCTGTCTAATCTTTGGTTGAACGGTGAACCTCAGGGGTGAATTCATTACTGAGCTAAAATGGTGTCCGGGGCCATGCCGTAGGGCTGAAAGCCCATCTTCATGAAACACTTTGTGAGACTCTGGACGCAAGCAGTGCCAGGCCTCAAATGACAAAAGTGACGAACAGTTGGGAAAAGCCACACCCCCACCTCCCTGCCACAGACCTCAGAGCAGCCCCAGTAGTTGTGGAAGATGTTCCAGAACCCAGGGAGGGGGCACCATGCTCACAGAGGACACTGCAGCAGGGCAGTGTCACAGCCCTCCTTAAATTTCTTGCAAGCAGGGGCTGTGTCCCTGTTCAAGTCCCCTCGAGCTCCCAGAAGTAATAGGGATGATGGGAAGAGGGTGCTGAGATCCTGGATAAGCAGGGGGTAGTTGGGAGCCATTGAGATTCTGACAAGCATATTAATGTAACTGCAAAACCTCGAGGAACTGGGCAGTTTAGCACCACGTGTCTGTACCCTCCTCTCCCAAGAAATGGATCCATTTGTCCCTACAGGGAGATACTCACTGCTGGTCTCGTCCCAACCCCATGTCCCACTTCTGCACATTGTACTTTTCTCTTGGTGCCTCTTTTATACTAACTTGCCTCAAGCCCAGCTCTTTCTGAAATGCGGCTTTGCCCATTTCTTCCTACTATCTCTCAGAGACTGAAAATAAGCCTCTGACCACCAGTACCGGGGCCCCACTATTTGCTGACCGTCTTCTCCGCTGACTGACTGCCTAATTGGGGAGAACACCAGGTCTTGCTTGGCCTTGGAATGCCTGGAATTATATCCTACCTGAGCGTTATGACCTTCTCCCCTCCTCCACCATGTGAACATGGCCTTCTGCCATCAGTATTTCCTCTAAGCCCCTCCAATGCCCATCACCACAGTCAAGTGGTCACACCTGGATGCATCCCACGAGAACTCATTCTTAGTAAGCTGCCAACATTGTTTAACTCAAGGGCGCCGAACTCTGAAAACGTCTTCTTGACAATCCTATCAGTGGCTAATTACAGATATACTGACATGAAAATAATTTATAGGCTGTTTTTGGACATGAGGACAGTTATATTGTATCCTCTTGTTATAGAGGATCATCAGGAAAAATCCCCCAACAGGACAGAAAACAGCTGGCAACAGCCACTTATCACTTTCCCTTTGCGCGGGAACAGAGGGTATGATTGACGATGACACCAGTGGACGGCCCCTTTTCTGCAAGATACCTGTGTCT